ATCTCCTGGAGCCCAGCATGCRAGGCACAACCTCCAAACAACAAAATATATCAAGCAAAGAACTTGCAAGGCAAGAGGGTGGTTTATCTCATACAGCAGATGATCAAAATTACCTCGTGTTACAGATGAGCACTAGGTTCATGAAAACTTCTTTCCTTTCAGAAGTACTGCTAATATTAACATTTTTCCAATCCTCTGTGGTTTTTAACTGAAAACTGTTTGTTTTTGTCAAACAAAAATGACAGTTCTTCCTATCTGAAAAACTTTCAAATGCAGATTTTTAATAACTGTTTATTGAATCCAAACTGTGTTTTCCCTCATCCCTCATCCCTTCCAGAAGACCCAACAAAAGCAGGGGTCTATTTTAAACCTGTCACACGGGCACCGACGAGACAGGTCTTAACTCTGCGCTCCTTTTTTCCCTTCTTGCCTTGTTACTCCCGCAGGTATTACAAGAGCTCCGTCGTGCTGATGTGCTTTGTGATCCCCACCTTCGTGCCGTGGTACCTGTGGGGCGAGAGCCTGTGGAATGCCTACTTCCTGGCCTCCATCCTGCGGTACACCATCTCCCTGAACGTCACCTGGCTGGTCAACAGCGCCGCCCACATGTACGGCAACCGCCCCTACGACAAGAACATCAACCCCCGGCAGAACACGCTGGTCACCCTGGGAGCCATCGGTGAGTGCCACAGCCCCGGGCACAGCTCTGTGCTCTCGGGGTGCTGTGCCACCCTGTTTGACCCTCTGGGTGCCTGCAGATGGATGCTGCCTGGAGCTGGGGCGTGGAGGAGGCTGCAGCTCACGCATCCTAGAGGAGCCTTGTTCTGCTGGTGGAATGGTAGAAAGTAGAATAGCAGCAAAGCCCTCATTGAAATAGCATCATGTGGTCTCTGGGAGGGGAGGGGTGAGCACCCAGCAGCAGCTTCTGCTCAGCAGAAATGAGTGATCCCACTTCTTAGCCAGCTGGATGTCTCTCTCCCCTCTTGAAGCACTTCTGGTTTCCTTCCCTGAGCACAAGGCATGGGATGTGCCCTGTCCTATGGGGGAGGAAAGCCCAGAGCACTGAAATGGAATCTGTGTCTGCCCCAGAGCTCTGGGGTGGAGCATTACCTCCACAAGGTGCAAGGCTTGGAAAAAGGGTGTTGGACAGTCCCACCTGGGTGTATTGCTGTGCTGATACAAGTGCCAGCCACGAGGTCTTTAAACTCCCGCTCTGTTTTTCAGGTGAGGGTTTCCACAACTACCACCACACCTTCCCGTTTGACTACTCAGCCAGCGAGCTGGGCCTCAAGTTCAACCCCACCACCTGGTTCATTGACTTCATGTTTTGGCTGGGGTTGGTCACTGACCGCAAGCAGGCTCCGAAGGAGATGATCCAGGCTCGCAAGGAAAGGACTGGGGACGGCAGTGCCTGAGGAGTGACACTTCGCCGTGCCAGCGCTGCTGTCCSCGTGGCTGGGTGGCTGTGTGCGTGCAACCCCGTGCCTGTGGTGGATTTACCTCTGGGTAAAATGATTTTTTTTTGTTTCAGATCAGCTGGGCTGAAATCAGTTCCCTGGGAAGTGATTCAGCCACAGCTTTTTTTTTTCTTTATTAGCTGTCTTTTGTCCAAACTTAAGACTATTAAGTGTAAAAATGTTATATATTATTTAATATTGCAGTTAAATGGCAGAGAGGTTTGATTTTAGTCAATGTAGTTCATGTCTGAGATCTGTTGTAATTTGCTTGTTCCTGATAATTGTTGGCAGGTTGAAGGAACTAACTGTCCTTTCCAGGTGCAGTTAGGGGAGGTTTTTGTTCCTGCTGCTAATCCAACATGCTTTTGGGGTGCATCTTTCTGGGGGGAAGGGGCAGGGCCCAGTGTGCTGTGTCAGCTGCATGCTCAKGGAAAGGACAGCAACGCCACCGATGAAAAGCAGTATGTCCATGGGGAAAAATCACCCTCAATTTAGTCAGATGTTAGTTTGGAAACCTGCTTTCTTCTTTTTGTTAGCCCTGTTAGCCAGCCCAGTGCACCGCTGTCTTTGCTAAATATGAAAACCATTTATTGCTGAGCAGGCTTTTGTGTTGAGGATTAGTCTCTCTACGGGCCAAAATACCAACTGATGCTGTACTGAGATGGCTCCTTTGTTGTCACACTCACATTGTAATTGTAAGTGGATAGAGCTCAACCATGTCTTAAGCCAAATAAAGCTTCGGTTTCAATGTTTGGAGACCTAAGTCATACTCTAATCAGTCATGGCCATCGATGCATGCATATTTTAGCTCCTTTTGCACAAGAGGCCTCTTAATTTCTTTTTCTGCCTTTGACTAGTGGGTCTTAGAAAACTCACCTTTATCTAAGTCAGAGCCTGTACTAATATTTCAGCTGCATGCAACATCCATTGGTTTCTGAGCAAAATATAAAGACAGTTATGTAGCTTCTGAATTTTAACAGTTGCCTTGCTTAACCAAAAGAGAAAAAAATAAAAAAAGAAAAAAAAGAGGAAAAAATATAAAAAAAAAAAAGGCATGTGGATTTAATGGGACATATAGCCCTTTGTGTTAGATGTTAGCCAGTGCAGGAGAGAGGCTTTGTACTGTCAGCACTGGAGCACTTTTGAAGATAGAGGGCATGATTTTCATTTATAAAGAAGGTTGCTGCCTTGCCCCTCGGAGAGGGAGTGCCTGTTTCCCAGCCACACAGCCCCACGCCCTGGGCAAGGCAGGGATCTCCAGATAACTGAGACTCAGGCCCAGATATTTTCAGGAAAGATGCAAAAGTGGGGGAAAAAAAATAAAATGGTTTCTTTTTTGTTCTGTTTCTTGTTTTTCAAATGATGCCATATAATATAAAAGAGTTGTCTTTATTCTGTCTTTCATCCAGCAGGTGTTTTAAAAGTGTTATTTTGCCATTAATAATGTGTAAACTCTTGAGTGATTTACAATAAACAGTTATGAGTTAGACTGGCCATTGTGCTTCATTTTGAAACACCTCCCAAAGCAGAGGGCTTTGTGCATCACACATCAGAATTACAGCAGTGTTTGGCTTGGCATTTCCAGCTATGCATTCAGTGCAGCTCAAAATACCTCCCCCCTCAGCATTTCTGAATGTCAGGGGAAGAGGAGGCTGTCAAATGGAAGGGYAGCTAGAGATTTGATTTCTTTGGGCTTCCTGGCCAAGCTGATAGAGGGGGAAAGGAAACTGGAAGCTGACAAAAACTGGAAAGGAGACGGTGGCAAGTTCTTGCGTGTGAAAATCCCACTTAATTAGAAAAATACCGGCCCAGTGTGTCTGCAGGACAATGTTTAGGCCAAAAATATTAAACAATTTATTTAAATTTTGCTGTTAGTTCTCTTTGTTTCTGCTGAGATGGGCCTGAAGACCCRGGTGTGCCTGAAGATGTGTTTGGATGTGCATTCATCTGGAGTCAGAGCCATTTGACAGACACAGGATTTACTCACACACAGGAATAGATATCTCCCCAACCCTGCTGCAGTGCCTGCAGGAAGGTGTGGAAAAGCTGTCCTGGAGCTGGGGGGTTCCTGACCTGCTGGTTAGAAGGATAGAGCTGTTCCTTCCATGGCAAAAAACATAGAGAGCCTGCCTTCAAAGCGATGTGTGTAATGGGTTTGGGCTTGGGGTGTTTGTGTAGGAGAGAAGCTTGGAAGATGTGCAAATGCCTGACCCCACCAATGCTCACATCCTTTCCCTTTGCAATTTCCTGACAGGGAGCTGCAGGGAATGCACCAAATTACACAGCTTCCTGTTGATCTTCATCGTTTTTCTTTTGTACTGCTCTTCCTTGGACTTCCTTAGGCTCATTCCTGTTGAGTGCCAGGTGTAAGAAGGATGAGTGGMCTTGCAAAGAGGCACACGCTGTTCTGAGCCGCTCTCAATACCTGAGATTACAACAAGGTAATATTCCCCCCACCCTGCCCCGGCTATAAGACTTCAAAAGCAGCAGCAGTTGCAGTGTTTTTCAGGGATCTGAGGTTGAAATTGAAGCCATTGTCAAGTTACCCGGTTTTGAAAAACTGAAAATAAGTAAAGAAACATTGTTCAGAAAAGAAAAAGCTCCTCCATCAAATGTCTTATCTGGAAGCTTATGCTGCCTGAATCCCTCTTCTTGTGGATAAAATTCTCCCTGTGGTAGAGTTGATAAAAAAAAGCATCAGCCTTCGCAGGAAAACTAGTTTTTTAGAGAGGGTGCCTCAAATTTCGGTAAGACAAGGAATACTTGTGTATTTCCTTTTTTGCTTGTCTGTATTTTTGTGYTTGTTTCAAACTTTTTGATAATTTMTTTTGKTTTTTGGTTTTTTGAATAATTTTAGTCATGCTCTTTAGTGTGGTTTTCTCTTCCCCAAGAAGATGTAGGGTCTGCGGGGGGCAGGAAGTGCCAGTGCCATTTCCCAGGGTCAGTGCTGGATCCATCCTCTGTTGAATTAAGTGATGTGGGGAAATTGTGGAGCCTTGATAGGGCGGGTGCTGGGGCATAAGCTGCACTTATTTCTGTGGATTTTGGCATTTCTCCAGCTGATGTGGTGGTTAAAGACCTGGCTAGAGCTCTCTGAGCAGTRTTGAGGGGCTGCTGGTGCTGGATTTAACCAGGGATATGTTGGCTGTCTTCTGACACCTGATGGTGTGACAGTGCTGATCCTGTGTCTGACTCTGTTCTGGGCACGTTGAACCATCTGGAATAACTCCACACAGGGGTGGAAACAGGGGTTTGTACTTTGCCCCATGCACTGTTGCCCTGAGCATTTCCAGGCTCTCAGCTTTGGCACACAGCAGGCACTGGGTCGCTTTCACCTCTTTTCCCAGAAATGGTGGGGCCCTTAGGAAATGTGGCACTGGCTCTGGAGCTCTGCACTCCTTCCAAGTGAAAACTCCCCAGCAGGTCACCTAGGGGAATGCCAGCCTGCCCTGTGTACTGCCTTGGCACAGTCTCTAGAGGAGGATCTAATCTGTAAATTGCAGCATCGGGGAGGATTTAATCTCCAAGTTACAGCACGTACGTGGTTGTGTAAACATSGATGAAACCCGCCCGCCGTCGGGGCTGTGCACAAACACGGCAGTCAGGGTTTGGGGTGAGAGCAAGGCTGTGGTGGCTGACTGCACAGGAATCCCCAGGCTCCATCCGACCCCATCCCTGCTGCAGCTGGGCTGGGGTAATCCCTGGAGCAGGAGGGATGAGCAAAACCTGCTGGCACTGAAGCTACACCTCGAGAAAGGCGCTGCAGGGAGAGGTGAGTGCTGGCGCTGAAGAGATGCACCAGGGTTTGYGCTCTTGGGGTGTGAGGGGTGCATTTCTGCTCTGCCCTGCACTTCCTCCTGTTCCTTGTAAACCCTGGGAATGTCTGCATCCCTCTGCAGMTTGGAAGTGCAAGGCAACTGCTGTCCCCTGGCTGGCAGCCAGAACACAGCTTTCTAGAAATAAGCCCAGCAGATGGTAAATGTGGCCTGACTGCAGGTACCACATTCTGCTGCCAGGATGGGAGGCTCCGAGGCAAAAAAAAAAAGATTTTCTGAAAGGTCTCCTGTGTCCCCATGAACCTCAGAATCCATGCAAGGYTGGAAGTGGACTTAGGGGCTCTGGTTAGACAACATTTGGGGTTTTTCAGCTGGGAGGTCTCTCACTTTGGAAGGGTGGTTGATGATAAATCAGCTCCCAGACTGTGGCCCCAAAGGCATGGCCAGGCTGGATTCATATCAATATTTTTGCCCCTGGGTTGTTTTGTAGCTCTACCCTTTGTGCAGAAAGGCTGTCACAGGGTGTTGCAGGGTATTCACYGCCTTCTGGATTATGGGAATCAGGATTCTGGTTATGGGAATCAGGGTGCAATTTCCCACAAGACTTTATTTCAAAATAARAAGAATGAAAAACAAAACTGAAAGCAGTTTTCCCAGTGGGAAAGAGGGCAGTTGCTAACATGTGCCCATGTATCCCAGCTCCCACAGTGGCTCTGGCACAGCTGAGCCTGGCCTGGGAGCAGAAATCTCTGGCAAAAACCTCTGCCCAGCAGCACCAGCCCCACTAAACTGGGGAGAATAGAGGGGAAAATTAAAAAAATCAGAACTCCTGGTGTGTCCCTGCATGGGCAGAGTTGCTCACTGGATAGTTTGGAGGCTTTTGCTGTTTAAACCACCCTTTGCACATGAGGTACACTGCTTTTACTGAGTCCATCTCCTGCTGCCCCACTCCCTGGAGAGTGAAACCCTGACTGAGGCTTTTTCTGAGAAAACAATAAAAGAATTCCCATGCTGGATTTGTAGACAAATGAGCTGTGCCACTGTTCCTCCCCTTCCTGCACTAGCCATGGCCAAACTGGGGTTAAAGCCAAAAGGGCAAAGGTAAGGCTCTGCCCCACACAAGCATTTTAAAAGATAAATCTACTGCCCAGGAGAAGTTGATGAGCAGCAAAGCCTGCCTGCAGAAAAATAAAAAAGAAAATCCCCTTTTGCAGGACTTGGAAAATGATTGGAGGAAAGGCTCCAATGAGCAGCACAGATAAAAAAAAATGTAGGTGAAACAGTGCTTACCACATCTGCACAGTATGTCTAACCTTTGTATTAAYTGTGGCTACTAAATTTTCCTCATTGACACGATTCTATTAGCATTTATAAACATGGTAATAGGAAATAATTATTTTACACAATCTCGTTATTCTTAAAAAAAAAAAAAAAAAAAAAAAAAATTTTAAAAAAAAACAATTTTTTTAAAAAAAAAAAAAAAAAAAAAAAAAAAGTATTTTTTTCCTCAGCACTTTCTGTGCTCCATGTAGGGCTGTCCTCCTGCCAGGCCAGAATACACACCAGTTTGCAGCTCTCATCTGCACACACTGCCACTGTGAAGTTTCTCACCCAGAGGYCACACCCTGACTACAAATCCTCTTTATCCCATGTATTTGCTATTACAGCAGTAATTTTTTTTCTTGTCTTTTTATRGAAAAAAAAATTGTTTCCATTTTCTCCATTTCCTTTCCTCATATTCCTTTCCTTTCCAAATGGTGTCACTTTGCTGMAGTTAGATGGAGTGGGTCTCTTCAGTTTGCTGCTCCATTCCCTGATCTAGGTGATTTTTTCTCGGTGGGGATCATGTGGGTGAACTGGGAAGAGCTTCATCTTGGAGGGCTGGGATCTGGGGACATTCCTTAGGGTGAGAGAGTGCACTTTGCAGGTGTCTGCCTCTCCAGCCGCCCTGAGCACACCTTGCCAAAGCCAAGCCCTGGGTGCCATGCTCTGATGGCATCTGTTTGTCAGCAGGGCATTTGGAGATATGAAGTCTATCACAATATTTGAAGAGCTCGATAAAGGAACAGATGGCTGCAATAAGAGATGATCTGGCTGATGAAATGAGRGTTAACACGTAAACTGACAAACTGCTTTAACTGATTTTTAACAGTTTCAACTGTATTTAATGCATGCATCAGGGTGTGGAGCAGCTCCAAGGGCTGCTGCTGAGTGATCCTTTGGTTCATTTCCCCCACTGCTCCTCTTTCTGGATGGGCAACCTTTCGTGCRGCCTCACTCCAGCTTTGGAGCAGAAAGGAGCAGGACAGGAGAAAAAAGGTGGCAAGTATATTTTCAGAAGACATGTATCTCCCAGAAATCAAAGCAAACTCAAAGCAATTCCCTTTTCCATTTTCCTCATCTCTGTGTACCTTTTCTTCCCACAAAAAAAAAAGTCCAGTCTAGGATAATCACAGCCAGTCTTCAGTGGCAGTATCACCCTGGGAAGGACTGCAACTKCTTCCTCCTGAGCTGTGAGTGAGGTCTGCAAGGACAGGAGTTAGCTCGATGGTAGTCCTCTATTTCACGTGAAAAATTAAATACCTGCAAAGCCTAATGCTGCTACTCGCTGTCAGGACATGGGGGCTCAGAATTCCCACTTTCCCTGGAAGAATGCAGATGTGAGCGGCATGAATGTCTCTTTCTTCCCGCACTGGGTGGGCTGCAGCACATGCTTGCTGTCCCCAGGCTGTGCCCTTTTTTCAAGCTGTGATTTTTTAATTTGTAATAAGTTTTTGGTGGGCCTGTCAGCATCGTGCGTTTTCCCGCACTCTGAGGGACACCATCTGCTCTAAGAAGAGCTGTGAACAAAATGTCTCAGACACTCTGAGTTTACCAAAAATGAAATTGCCTTAAAATCCCATATGGTGCATTGTTTCCCTTCCAGCACTGGCTGACAGCAGAGGTGAAGTGACTAAGGCAGTTTCTGATTAGTTGCTGCATTTTCCTTTCTGGCCAAAATCGTTGGGGCTGAGCACTGTCACTTGTCACCCGTTTGACAGAAGGTTTTCTTCAGCCTCAGCTGCTGAAAGCCAGGGGGAACTGAGTTACAGACACCTCCYCTTTATTAATTTTAAAGTGAGCTTCCTTGACTTTTGCTGTCATGAGAAGCTTTGTAGGGAGGGATGTGGTTGATGCTGATACCTCGAGCATGTTGTTTCCCAGGCACCTGATTTTGGGGTCTCTCTTGGTGACATGGAGGCAACAGCAGCTCCTTGCCATGGGGAGCCATGCCTGGAAGTCACTTGTTGTGGCTCCTGAGCGTGGCAGTGCCATGGGGCAGTGTCAGGTGCATGCAGAGGGGAAACCTGTCCAAGATCTCTGGCTTTTGTGGTATTGCAAAAAAGCAAATGCTGCATGAAACCATTTATTAGTCCAGGATAACATGAGATTTAAAATACCAAAGCAGGAAGAGTGTTATTTCAGCTCTAAAAATAGCCCCAGCCTTTAAAACACGGAGAAGCATCCCCAGTACATGCCTTTCTGTGGGAGAGTCTGTCCTCTCCCTTGATGATGCAGCCACTTTGGTGAGGGCTCAGGGGAGCTGCTGGTGCAGTGCTTGCTCTGAGGATCAGCACTCTGAGGGGTTTTCAATCCCTGGGGATCAGAGAGATGAAATCTCTTCAGTGTGTTCCGTGAGGGCCAAAGCTGCAGGGTGAAGGAGCATTGCTTGCTAGAAGGGCAGCATGTGAAATACTGATGAAGTGCTGATGTGTAATTCAGCTCAGATCTGGGGGCTGACATGGATTGGGGCATCTGTCTGTTTTGTGTTGGTTCATAACTGATGGCACCAGGACAAAATTTTGAGTAAGTGCTACTTTATTTGGATTTTAGGAAAACAAACAAGACAGTCGCTAATTAACATCAGTCATCCTGACAGAGAGAGAGGGGAGGGAGAGGAAAAAGAAGTGGTAACATTCACGTTGATTTAATGCCATGAGGAYAAGGCAGAGAAGGGATCCCTCCATCCTAGGAAACAATCCCAAATGGTTATCACCGAGCTGTTTTGCTGGGAATGCTTCTCCTCAAAATTCCAACCACAGAGATACTTCGCAGAGACCACAAACCCCACCACCTAGGAAAGGGAAAAGGGGCGGAAGAGGCTGCTCCTGGGGTCTCTTGCTACTGGGTGGCTGCTTCCTTCAGGTATTTCAAAGTACCCATCCAAATCAGCAGCCCCGGAAGGGTTGCTAAGATGCGGGATTTGCCTGGCGATCCCACCGCGGTG